ACTTCACTTACAAATTTGCTGCTGAATGTGAAGCAAAAATTCATAGTAAGAGAATGCAGCTTCTGTTCGGTCTTCAATCAAATGCTGAAAAAATTCCGTTTTGGCAGGACTCTCATCTCTGAAAAAGAGAAAAGGATATTACCTAAAAGTTTGTATTATTTACAAGAATAATTACACATTTTAAAAATGTACAATACATGGGGACTTCAAGAAAATGGAACATAGGGGAGATTTTTCAAATAACAGCATTCTATCACTAGAATGTATTTTGATAGTATTTTAAATTTGCTTTGAAGACAAGCAATTTTACAGACTGCATATGATAAGACAATTTTATAGTTAAGTTATAGAAGTACGTACTTTACCACATGAAGAACTGGGCTCAATGGTCTGCTGTCTCTAAGCCAAGTTATAAAGGATCTGGTTCTTTCTGATGAAAGTGTATCTAACTCTGGAAGATGTGTCTGGTAAAAGAAATATTTTAGGATATTATTTTCTTTCATATAGACTTTAGTACTATAAAAACTAAATCCACTACCACCAACTAACTGCCAGTACTCTATTCCAAGCCCCAAGAGCAGCAACTAAACAAATAAAATTTAAATTCTTGTCAAGTCTGTTTATATATTTCTTGATAAGTCAATAAAATATATTTAATGGTAAGTACATCACTGACATTTTATGTGTATGTTAGGACCCCAAAAGTCTATTCTTTTATATATATGTACACACACACACACACACACACACACGTATGTATAATACCAGTATGAATGAAGAGTTTTTTTTCCTCCCAAAGCCAACTTAATAGTAAACTAAGTAACTCAACATAATAGTTTGTAAAAAATTTAAATAGAAACGTTTGGGTTAGTTATATTTGTAATATTTGCCAACATTTAAAAAGTAAAAGAACAGAAAACAATTTCTATGAATTGGCTGTTCAAATTCTTTGCCCATTTTTAAATTTTCCCTTTGTTTTTAGGAGATGGGTTTTTTTTTAAAAGGATTGTAAGAGAACTTTATACATTAGAGGAATCACTCCGTTTTCAGTCATATGAGTTACAGATAGTTTTCCAATTTCGCTGTTTGTCTTTTGGCTTTCATTATTTATTTTACCAGATAGAAATGTCTTATTTTTATGCTCTCAGATTTATCAATCTTTTCATCATTGACTTACAAAGCCCCTGCCCATTTTAATATAATAAAGATTCTTTTTCTAGTAGTCCATTTTTGTGCACAGTGATTTGAAATGAACCTTTATCACATTCTATTTTTCAGGAATTAGAACCATTTCTCAATTCTGCTCTGTTACACTGATATGTTTATTATGCAAGTACCATTGTTTAATAAACTACAGATATAAAATAAAGTTTATTGTTCTATTTAGTAAGATTTATTTTCCATATGCTTTCCCCCTTCACTGTTATTATTTTTTTAAACTTTTCCTTAATATTCTCATTCATGGAGTTAAACAATAGCAGAGCGTGACATATTAATTTCAGGAGAAATGACATATTTACATTATCCAAAAATAAGTAGACCATTTCCAATTAAATACAGAAAACTGCTTTTGGAATCATATTTCTTTGGTATTGGTTAACATACATACAGTAAAGGTCAACTGAAAAATTTATGTTCATTGTCAGCAAAATAATTTAAAAAGTTTTTGTTTATTGATTTAAGAGAGAGAGGAAGGAAGGGAGGGAGGGAGAGAGAGAGAGAGAGAGAGAGAGAGAAACGTCAACTTGTTGTTCCACTTATTCATGCATTCATCAGTTGCTTCTTGTATGTGCCCTAACTGGGAATTGAACCTGCAACGTTGATGTATCAAGATGACACTCGAACCAAATGAACTACCCAGCGCATCAGCAAAATAATTTAAATCAGAAGGTAACGTTGTTGGGAAATAGCGTGGCAGTTCCTCAGAGTTAAACACAGTTTATCATATGATCCAGCAATTCCAACCCTAAGTTATATACCCAAGAGAATTGAAAACATGTTCATATAAACACATGCACACAAATTTCTCATGGTAGCACTATTCATAATAGCCCTAACGTGGAGACAACCCAAATGTCCATGAACTACAGATTGGATATACAAAATACAGTATATCCAAACAATGGAGTATTATTTAGTGATAAAAAGAATGAAATACCGATGCATGCTGCATGAATGAACCTTGAAAACACTGTGAGAAGTGAAAGAAGTCTAACACAAAAGGCCACATGTTGTATGATCCCATTTATATGAAATGTCCAAAACTGGCAAATCCAGAGATATAGAATGCAGATCAGTGGTTGCCGGAGAAAGGAGGAGGGAAGAACTGGGAGATACGGGTTTCTTTCTGGGGCTCTGAAATTAGATACTGGTGATGGTTGTACAACATGATAAATACACTAAAAACTAATGAATTGTACACTTTAAAGTAGTTAAAACTGTGAATCTTATGTGAATTTTCTTCAATAAAAAAATTTAAAACAAACAAGCACACAAAAAGTTCAAACTGTATAAAACCCCCCTCACCATTTTCTGTGGTACTGATGCAAAATTAGGGTGCCCGAGCACATCTGTTATGAAGTTGTTGTCACAGTTTTTCCCAACCCAAATATAAAAATCCTAAAAACAAACAAAAAAATATGTTAAAATACCTTTATCAGAAAACATTACAGCTTATTTTCTCAAAATTATCAAGTATAAAAGAGGTAAAATATACTATTTCAAATAATGTAGGAACATGAGTCAAAAGGAAATGTAATTGGCACATTTATAACCTACATCCAGGAATTTACAGTGTTTCACATCTTCTTTGCTTAAATTTCAAAACTTCCCATAAAATAGATTTTACCTTGTTCCTTTTTCCCCAGTGGGAATGCAGTGTTTTAACCAGGATACCTGACTCACAGTTATTTCCTATCCACTATTTCAATGACTGTCTCTAGGCTCCCGCCATGAATGCTGGAATCCTTTTCCTGCTCGTAAGGTAACATTTACGTAGCCACCTTGAGCACTCTTGACACCCCTCACTACCACTCTGCCAGCGACTTCCCCTGAACTCCAAATTATTAATGGCATTTCTCACAATGGGTATAAGTTGAACTAGATGAACTCCAGGTCCCTTTGAATTTTATGATTTTAGACGACAAAATCTTTGAAGACAGGAACTTTTCTCTTTATCAAGTATGCATAATCTAGGACAGTAAATAATCCATGTTAATAAAAGTTATTAATCTATGATAATAAAATACTACCCAACTAGAAAAGTCTAAAAATGAATTAACCCCATGTGCCAGTTACCAATGTATTGCCTCCCCGCTCCTAAGCCACCTATCACTGACTGATCTGTGGTAACAGAGCTGGGCCCTGTTGAATGTTTCTCCTCCTGTGGGATGAGAGTTAGGCTTTGTCAGTAGAGGGTGCTTACAGAGCCACAGTCCATAAGGAAAGCACCTTCTCTTGTTAGCTTCTCTGCAGACAATTTTTGAAGAGGTGGCTGAGGTACGACCCTGTCATTAACGTGTATTGCGCCCTGAAACAAAAACAGATGGAATATGAACGAGCTTACGTTGCTATCATCACAGTTTGGAAGCTAATGGCCACTAGCTCTTTATAAAATACGGAAAAATAACACCTGAGGATTTTGCAGGACACAAAAAAATTACTGATAATACATTATGACCCTGGCTGTTGAATCAAGGCACTCAGATGTATTCAAATTAAAAAGATAAAAACACGAATACATAGAACAATCTGTCCATTTCCTTCCCTTTTGGGATCTGGGTATAATAAAAGTATGTCTACTAAATCTGCTTTAAAGCAAGTTACTTTTTCACATTTCTCTATGAATGTTATACAGAGCAGATTCCAAAAAGTAGAGTTTTAATGCAAGGAGGAAAACATACACTAGATATTTGCATATTAAAATCACTGTTGGACACCAGAGATCCAGTTTACAATGTAATCAAAACTGCACTCTGATCATAACAGAAACAGTCAGTATCTATAAAATATAGATGGAGATGTCTATTCTACAACTTGGCTTTGTAATACATATTATAAGCAAATACACGCGAATTACTCCCCACATGAAGCTATTTGTGAAAATTCCGTAACCACAGATAGTATCTGATAGTCCCAGTGTCCATATTTAATGTATTTATAACACAGGAAAAAATGGATTAAAAAATTGTTAATTAATACACTGTTACTTTACCTACTGAATCAAGACATTCACATATACTTAAATTAAGAAATTTCAAGTGCATTAAAAGAAATCATACCTCATCTATCAATCTGTCTATCCTGTATAAGTTGGGATGAATCATTCTCATTAGATGAACAAGTGGCTGACACTTTATCTGACACATGGCATACACACGGTCATCCAGGCGTGTGCTTGTGCCGGTTCTGAATGCTTTCTATATTAAAAAAAGACACAAAAATTTCAAGTAAAACAAACACAGTGGACAAATATTAAAACAAATATTTACCATTATCATGGAAAAGGCATGGCCTTCAATTCAGATCGACCTAGATTCAATTCTCAGCTCTGACATTTAATAGATGGGTATGAGAGCAAGTCACTTAGCTTTTCAAAGCTATACTGTCATCATAAGAAGAACATGGAATACCCAGCTCTCTAGGTTGCTGTAAGAATTAATTAAGATGATGTGTATATGACATATATTATGGTGCCCAAGGCTTGGAAAGATGTTCAATGAATATTAATCCTTTCCTTAGTCTCTTTCCAGAAGCATATGCAGAGTATGCTATAACCACTCCATTATGCAAGTGGCTCCCACATCTTAGAGAGTGAGGGCATAGGGTTTCACAACAGTCATCATGTATTTTTATATCTACATTTTCCACTCATCCTTGACTGCTCAAAACTTTTTCAATGCTTAATGGCATAATCCTCTAAATATTTTATTTTTTTAATCCAGAAAACCTAGATTCCATTTCTTTACCTATATATCAAAATTTTAATTTTAATATTTCTTAGATGTTTCCTTTATGGTTTGTCTCCTCAGTCACTGTCCAGAGAAATCTGAGAAGCTATAGGAATACGCAGTCACAGACTGAAGGCCAGGCTTTCTCTCCAACGTTGTGGAAAGGGACTGTACATCACCAGGCAGAGCCCTATGCTCCCCTACACAACCTGGACAGGGCCCAGGGAGAGTGAGTTCTTGGGGGTATCCACACTGGATAGGTATCAAGAATTTTCAGATTTTATTAAATATAACAATGTATAGAGTGGTACCTGTTTAAGAAGGGCCAAAACATAGAGAGGAAACAACTTGAGGGAACCAGGTGCAATCAACCCAGAGTGCTGTAAATTTGAGACCGTAGAGCCATAAGCAGACAACGAATCCACCACAGCATTCACTAAGGCATCTCTTGCATCTGATAGACTTGATGAAATGGATCGATCCACAGCTAGAGAGCAACCAAAAGGAAAAGGTATATAAGAGATAAGATTTACAAGCATTATTTAAGAAACCAACAATTCTGTTTCTAGGATTAAAAAAATACTTTTTCTTTAGAATGCATCCTCATTTTAAAAGTATGTGCTAACTACATAATTTTTCTGAACTAAATCTGACAATCAGAACAAATCTAGATTGTTTTGGACTTTTTGTTTTAAACTCTTTTATAAAAATACTTAACCACTATGAGTATTAGAAAGCATATATCAACCATCTACTTTTAAGAAAATTCTGGGGATATTTCCACTACTCAAATAGAAATCACACGTATAAAGTATTTTGTTTTCCTGGCCAAACGTTAAGTTTCAATAAAAAAAAAAGAACTGCAGAAAAACAACCTAAGTTCTGCAATCTGAGTTTATCCCCTGTGATCCTCTAAAAGGTTTGTCAAAGCATTCCCAGGTCAACAAAAACTGGACATAGGTCCTTATACTGATATTGAAAAGCGAGATATTAGTGTGAAATCCAAGTACACATTTTATTAAAATAGAGATAAACTACACATATGCACAAGTATTAAAAATACAATCATATTCATGGGCAATTTCATTTGCTGATGGTTCATTCTGATGTCTAAATTCAGCTAAAAGATAAATTCATTAGGAACAAAACAGTGTTATATTAATTCCCTAAAGGATTTTTTAAAACTTATATACAGTAAAATTTACTTTCTCAAGTATAATTCCATGATGGTTTTATGTCAAATGCATAACCATGTAATCACTACCACAATCAAGATACACAACAGTGCTATCTCCCCCACAATACCTCTTTGTGCCTCCCCTTTGTAGCAAAATGCTTCCCCTACGCCTAACCCTTGATAATCACTGGTCTATTCTTCATCCCTATGATTATTCCTTTGCTAGAATGTCATATAAATGGAATCATATGTAAGTAGTCTACATAGTCTAGCATAATTCCTATAAGAGTCATCCATGTCTGTCCATGTATCAATAGTTCTTTCTGTTTTATTGTTGAGTTGTAGCCCATTGTATGAATGTATCATAGTTTGTTCTTAAATTCACCAGCTGAAGGAAATCTGGGTTATCAACTTTTAGTGATTATGAATCTCCCAAAAGGTTTTTAACCCAAAGGAATAATACAAAATATAAGAACAGTCCAGTCTACACTGCTATAAATGAAAATGTAAAACACACACACTTCTTAAATAAGGGATTTGTAGGGTAAAAAACATGCCCAAGCTTCAGCTTTTAGGAAAATGCATTTCCCCTCACTTTTACTCACCCATGTTTGCCAGAAGGCAGATGGCAGCTTGCACATCCACTCCTGCATACACATCTGCTAGTGAATTTACCACAGGCAAACACAGAGTATGCACTCTAATTCTCCGCTCACCTAAACAAAGGGATGAACATTGCAAAAATCACTGCAAACATATTAGACCAAGAAACAAAAAAAACAGGTCAAATATTAATCAAGTTATTGTTTTGATTGGATTCAATCACCAACAGGATATTGAGATGTAAAATCAAAGTTTTGTAGAGAACATGTTTAAAGAAAATTCAACACTCTCTACATCTGAAGGCATACTTGTGCTACGAACACATACCATATTTGAATATAGTTGAGTATTAGGTTTTAATTCTTATTTTAATAGCATACATTCTAACTTATATACTACATAGTAAAATGTCAGAGAACTTATTAGACTGTCAATGAAATGTAGGCTATAAGTGCTAGGCAGAATTTTTTATTTTATGGGACAATAAATAATGCTAAAAATGTCATGGCTGAATTTAGCATGGATTATTTACCAGATACATATGATCCTGGGAATACAAGTCAAAAAAAGGTATCATTTAAAGATTCAAAAAAGAACAGAACATATATTTGATTAACTGATGGAAATCCCATTACTTTCCACTGTACATTCATTCTTCCTCCCTATTCGCCCGAGCATGTGAAAGGAGGGAAGAGTTACTCCTGCAGGTTACATTTCATTTCTCTTAATATTACCTTTGCTTGATGTATATAATAGGGCTGTTTGAAAGCACACTAAGGACGTATCTGCCAAACTTTCTTCAATTGACAGCTGTACTGCAAATCCAGCATCAGGATTGATGTTGGCAAGGGATAATAAATCAGTGGAACGAACAAAGAAGTTTCCATGAAAAGTGTGCATTGAAAGACCTAGAGAAGAGAAAACATATCATAAAAGATGAAGTAACAGTAGTATCTTTATCTCAAGCTAAAGCTACCTTATAAAGTAAAAAAAAAAAAGCTCTGATTTTGAATCAAAAGGATAACTGGGGGTAGAAATGAGCTGTTGGTAGAGTTCTAAAACACCAATTCAAAGAATCAATGTTGGTTATACAAGATCTAATGTATAAAACTTTAAAAATGAGGGTTACTATAAAACTCATTTAAGAATTAAAATAAGTAATCAGAATACCTCCTGCAAACATTCACATAAAACCAAGGTAATGAGGACTATCTGAATGATTACGAAGGGAAAAATCATGAATTTGACCATTTTCACTAAAGATCTTCCCTATTTCTCTAGTTCCCCTTCTGAAATCACCTCAACATGAGCTTTCTCTTAAGTTCTTCCTAATAGCCCTGGCTGGTGTAGCTCAGTGGATTTAGCGCTGACCTGTGAACCAAAGGGTCGCTGGTTAGAGTCCCAGTCAGGGCACATGCCTGGGCTGCAGGCTAGGTCCCTGGTAGGGGATGCGCAAGAGGCAACCACATACTGATGTTCTTCTCCCTCTCTCCCTCCCAAACCCTCCCTAAAAATAAAATAAATAAAATAATTAAGAAAACAAAAGTTCTTCCTAATAGAGCAAAACAGTACTTTTGCCCACTTATACAAATAATTTAAAAAACTGGGCAATGATTATTCAAAAACTATATATAAAAAACAGGATACAACTAACTGGATCAAGCACAAAGTCTTTTATAATGAACAACCATTATAGGTAGACATAAGAAGTCAATATATAAATGCTTATTAATTTAATAAAGCATGAGAAGAATCAAGATGGCAGAGGAGTGAGTGGAAGTCACACTGACCTCTTCCCAGGACCAACCTGGAATTACAACTAAATTGTGAAGAAATCACCTGAACAATGGCGAGAAGAGCCTTTTAATCTCAGACAGACAAAAGAATCAGCTTTAGCACAACCTAACTGGTAAAGAGTGCAGTAGAGACTCGAGAAGGCAGGTGGGGTGCCCACAGGCAGCAGCACCAGAAGGATATTGAAACAGCCAAACAGATCCCCCTGAGATGAGCAAGGTCTAAATCATAAGCGGGGATCTCCAACTTACAGCACCAGAGCTCAAAAAGTACCCAGATAACCACCAGCTGCAATAAGTGGCAGGGTTGCTCTCTGCCAGAGATGGGTGTTTGGAGACGCAAAGAGCCTTTTAAAGGCCAGACATAAATATTTGTTTGCAGACACTTACCCAGGGCTCTGGCAAAGGCAGGGGCAGACTGCGACCTGAGGAGAGACTGGGGAAGGAGGCTTTGGGGAGAGAATTCAGAGAGTAGCTGGTGAGATCCCAGTGCTGACTCATCTCCCAGACAGCAGCAGCCATCTAGCTCAGAGACCACTCCTCTGAGTGGCAACAGCATGACAGGACACAATAGCCCTGCCCCCAAAAGGCTCAGCGTAGGTCCAGTAGTGCTAAAACCTGACGACTGAGTACACAGTGGCAGTCACAGATAGTAGATCCCTGGCAAAAGGGGGCTCAGAGAGGTCTAGGGACACTTGAGGAGAGACTAGAGACGGAGTCTTTGGGGAGAGAAGGGAGAGAGTAGCCAGCGATATCCTGGTGCTGACCGCTCCTCCATATGGCAGCAGCCATCTGGCTCAGGCAGACCACTCCCCTTCTAGAGGCAGCAGCATGAGAGGACCCAATAACCCTGCCCCCAAGAGGGACTCTGTCCCACCCTGTGGTGCCTAAGCCTGACCGCTGAGTACAGAGTGACTAGATTAACAACTGAAGGAGAAATCCACAGACAGCAGACTCCTGGAAGTCCCAAACAGACTGCTTAAGTTCTGATGGGGACAACATCTGACATCATCAGAGACAGATCCAGAAAGAAAAAAAACCCAGCAGTCTTCTACCACAGAAGTTCATACCACAAAGCCAGGAAGTCAAGACAGATCAATTTAAGAAGCAGAAGCAAAAAAGAAGAGTCTCACAAATAATGGGAAGACAAAGAAACACCCCTCAATCAAACGGAAAGGAGGAATCCCCAGAAGGAGAACTAAATGAAATACAGGCAAGGAAACTATCAGATATTGAGTTCCAAAGAACTGTACTAAGGAAGCTTAATGAGCTCAGTGAGCTCAGAGAGAACGACAAAACACTACAGGGAAACTACGAGGAACTTACTGCAAACTATATCAGCATGAAAAACGACATTGAAACTATCAATAAGAGACAAGAGGGAATGAAGAACACCATTTCTGAATTAAAGAACACAGTAGAAGGAATCAAAAGCAGGCTAGATGAAGCAGAGGATCAAATCAGCGAGCTGGAGGATAAGGTGGAAAAAAGCTCCCAGAAAGAGCAAGAAAATGAAAAAAGACTCAAAAAGAATGAAGAGGCATTTAGGGAAATGCAGGACAACCTGAAACATAATAATGTCCGTATACTAGGGATACCAGAAGGAGAAGAGGTGCCAGGGATAAAGGACCTGTTTGAAAAAGTAATGGTGGAAAACTCCCCCAATTTGAGGAGAGAAGTCCC